GGCACAGCCTCCCTGATCACTGCAGCAGGGCCCTCAAAGTGCACCCCTAGTGTGGAATGTATACCCTTCTGTTGTAATTGAATTTATTGCTGTTGGCATGTCAGTGGGAGGGATTTACTCAGGCTGATCAGCTGCAAGGACTGGCTGTGCCCATTGACCACTGGCCTCTGACTACCTTGGAGGATCAGCTGTGCAGGGACCTACCACACAGAACCAGTCTTAGTTCATCAGGGCTCTGGTACCCACTGAGTCCTCTCATTGAGCGTGTAATTTGTGGATGTGGTTGATTGGTGGTGTTTTGATGTGGTCTAACGCTGTTCACTGGATGTGCTGGCTCTGGGGCAAGGTCAGCCACACCTTGTGTTCTATCCAGGGCCACCCAGCATAAGCTATAAAGTGATCTGCAGATGCTGGGTGTGCCCAGGCAAAGCCAACTTGTGAACCAAGGCTGGCTTCTTGAAGTGCCAGGCCTGGAGCTACCTAATGAGCGGTGTGGGGCTCACTGAGACCAGATGCTGCTTGTTTGAGAGATTTTAGAAAACTCCGAAGTAGGGTCCAAGACAGGCCAATCGTATGGTAAAGCCTTTGGAAACACCTTGGGTGGGCTCGAGAGTTGAGTGGGGCAGAGCCTCAGAGAATCACCAGGGCGGGGCAAACATTGTGAGCCAGGTTGCTGGAGTCCCAGATATGGCGGCTGTCTGCTGCCCCAGGGAAGGGCTCAGCAAAGCAACATCAGCCTCTGCCAGCATGTCTGTCCAGGAGAAAGCCACCTCTCCACCCCTCATCCTAAGGCCAAACAGCTCAGTTCTTCCTTGTATGTCTCTGGTGCCCCTCAAGCTACCTCCCTTCCAAGCTTAGAGGGAGCAAGTCCCAGTATGTCCATTCAGCGACTCTTTAAGAAGAGCTGCTTAGGGCTCCCTCAGCCGTACCTTCCTTCAGCCTCAGTTCCTGCTGGTTTTTCCAGCCAGAAGTTATGGGGACTTCTCTTCCTGGCACTGGACCCCTGAGCTGGACACTTGGTGTGGGATGGGGACCCCTCACTTCTCAGGGAGGACCTTCCCAGCAGAGGTATCCTCCTGATTTTTATCTGCCACATGTGGGTGTGGGACCGCTGCTCCTCCTACCAGTCTTGGTGTGGTGGCTGCTTTAATTTCATAGTTGTAGGACTTCCATTCAGCTTGATTTCAGGCGGTTCTGAATGATGGTTGTGTTGCAGTTTAGTTGTAATTTTGATGTGGTTGTGAGAGGAGACAAGTACCACATTTACCTACGCTGCTATCTTGACCAAAAGTCTGGAAACTTTTTTTAAATTTTAAATGGTATTGTTCCATCAGATGGCTTTATCTGAATCTATTGAAATGATCATATGGTTTTACTCCTTTGTTCTGTTAATAAAATACAGGAATTTATTTTCAGATATTAAACTGATCATGGTATGTTTCCCTTTTTATGTATTCCTAGATTTGATTTACCTAATGCTTGTTAAAGATTTTTGTATCTGTAGTCATAAGGGATATTGATAATATAGTTTTTTTTCTTGTAATTCTCTGTTTGGTTTTTATATAAAGTTAATACTGACATCACCAATTAGGTATGGAAATGTTTCCTCCTCTTCTATTTTCTGGAAGAATATGTGTAGGATTTGTACTGTTTTCTTCTTTAAATACTTAGTAGAATTCACCCGTGATGCCATCGGGCCTGTAATTTCTTTGTAGAAAGTTTATAACTACACATTTAATTCGTTTACTAGATAAAGAGTTATTTAGGTTATCTGTTTCTTGAGTGAGCTTTGATAGTTTGTGACTTTCTAGGTATTTGTCTATTCATCTAAGTTTTCTAATTAGAATAATGGACATGATATTCTCTTACTGTCCTTTTAATGTCATCAGGACCTATGTTGATAACCTCTTGCTTATTTTTATATTGATTTGTGTTCTCTTTTTTTTCTTGATCAGTTTGGCTAGGGGGTTATCAATTTCATTTTTTCAAAGAACCACCTTTTGGCTTTATCGACTTCCTCTATTGTTTGTGTTCCTATTTCATTGATTTATATTTTTGTCTTTTTTATTTCCTTTAACTTACTTTGGATTTTCTTTGCCCTTTTTTTTTGAAATATATATTTTTTGTTGATTTTAGAGTGAGAGGAAGGGAGAGGGATAGAAAGACACATCGATGACAAAGAACATCAGTCAACTGCCTCCTGCATGCCCCCCACTAGAGATCAGCCCAAAACCAGGGTATGTGATCTGACTGGGAATCGAACTGGGACCTCTCAATCCATCAGATGATGCTCAAATCCACTGAGCCACACTGGCCAGGCTTCTTTGCCTTTAAAAAAAAAATTGAGGCCATATACCTTTGAGTTTTAGACCTTTTCTCCCCCAAAATAAACATTTGAAGTTGTAAATTTTCCTTAGGATATGGTAGAAATAAACAGACAAGAAGATTTCAAGAAGAGTTGGTTTTCTACTCTGAGATAAAGGAATGAGTATGTAACTACACATCCTCCTACAAATAATTGTGAAAAAAATACCCAAAACAAGACAAACAGACAACCTATCAGAGAGCTCTGGAGATGGAGAAAACGCAGGTAGTTTTAGAGGAATGTAGAAATCTAGAGCAAACAACAAGAAGAGAGTGAGTTTTCCATTTTTTGTAATTTTGCTCTAAGAGTGACTACAGTCATGGCAGAGGCAAGGCTGGGTATTTAACACTCAGAGAAAAACAAAACAAAATGAAACCAGCAGACTTTCAGGTTAAAGGAACATAGGGAAAGAGCCCTGGTTCAACCAGGGCTGCTAGAAAATGAGAGGCAAACTTCGGAAAGGAGAGAACCAGAGAAGAAAACCTAATTCTCTGTTCCAAGTCAGAATGAGTCTTCATTTGACTCATCAACCATGAATGTACAGAGAGAACTAAAAGTAGTCTTTGAAAATAAAGCTAAAGGAACTGAACTAAGGCATGGCCAACTACAGGTATGTCAGTGTACAGATTAAGTCTAATCAAGCTAATTAATTGCTAAAGAAACATCATCACTCTTAGCAATATTAAAAAATACTGAGTGTATACAATATAACATTAACAGTGTTCAGGATATATTTAAAATTACTGCATATACAGAATGCTAGAAAATGTTATCATTCTCAAGGGAAAAGACAGTCAACATCTGTCAACCTTGAGATAACCCAAATTCTACAATTATCAGGCAAGAATTTCAGTGAGGTAAAGAAAAAAATGCTAATAATAAATACAATAATAGGAAATTGTATTATAATAATTAAAATTGTGGAAAAAACAACAAATGAGCCTTGGCCGGTGTGACTCAGTTGCTTGTGCATTGCCTTGTGTTCTGAGAGGTCTCTGGTTCGCTTCCCAGTCAGGGCACATGTCTGGATTGCAGACTTGATCCCCAGTAGGGGGCATGCAGGAGGCAGCTCAATATTTCTCTTTCATTGATGTTTCTCTCTCTTTCTCCCTCTCCTTTTCTCTCTGTCTCTAAAATCAATAAAAACGTATTTTTTTAAAAATGAAAATTTGTTTCTCTTTTCAGAGTATCTTCATTCTATCTTCTCATGTCTATTTTGTATTGCCTGTGATTTGGTTCAGGTGCTTACCATTTTGCACTTGTACTACTACCATGTCCTCATGCTGTTAGTCTAATTTACGCAGTCTGCTATCCAACATGATTTTTCCCAAATTCAAACTTTTAACCACATTTTTACATTGCCAAAAACCCATCATTGATTCCCCAGTCCCTTCAGGATAAACTCCGAACTCCTTAGCAGCCTACACAGAGTACACCTGCTGCCTGGCTCTCCTCCCCATAGGCAGGCCCCTCACACTTATCTTTGTTGAATGCTTGCAGTTCCCCAAATACATCAGCTTCCTCAGGCTCTTCTACCTTTAAATATAAGTTCTCATAACCCCACCCTGTGTCAAGTAGTTCTCACCTATTTGTCCTTTGAAATTCAGTGCAAGCAACACGTATTTGATTTCAAATCCTCTCAGTATAAGTTGGGGATCTCTCTCAAGATCCCATAGCACTCTGTAGAGCCCTGATATCACTATCACTTGTTATTTATTGTCACTAGATTTCGAGCTCCTCAAGGGCTATAGATGACATTTAGTAATTTATTGAATAAGGGTCCTATTTAAACTTTTTCATTGGTTGAAATCATCTGTATGAGCCGAAGCCATCTATCTTCATTCTGTGTATAATCATCATTGAATCATATATAATATACTTAAATTTTAGATTTTGACTGTTTACCGAGGCCCAGTCAATATTTTCACACTGAAACCCCATAACTAAGGTCTTAGGTCTTATATAGCCTAACCAATGATTATACCTCACTCTTGAACAGTTTGTCAGTCTCAGTACTATTGACATTTTAGTTCTTTGTTGTGCGGCATTATGCGGTAGGATGTCTAGCAGCATCTCTAGCCTCTACCCACTAGATGCTAGTAATAAGACCTTTGCCCACCCCACATGTTTGCAAATGTCTCTCCAAACATTTTCGGATGAGGGAACCAAATTCCCCCAGCTAAGAATCACTACTGTAAAATTCTAATTCATGAAATGCCTAATGTTCTGCCCTATAAGAATCACCAGTATATTTATTATATTCACTCTGGTTACAAGCATATGATATTGTTCCAATTTTGAAGAATCAGTTTTGGTCTTGCCTCACTCTTTTCAGAAAATGTAAATGGTGTGCTCATTTGATCTTTACTTCATAGTGGCACTACTCTCTTTATCTAAAATGAGAGGAGTGGTAGAGGAGATTTTTCAGTGCCGTGTTGTACAAATATTAAGCTTTAAAAATTATTTCTGACAGTAGTTAGGGAGAGGAGCAGACTTCTATTGAGTTATTATCATTAAACTGTATATAGTTTGAATTTGATATAATACAAAAACTTTTAGTCCAACTACTACCCACATCAGATTTCTTTCTGTTAGTTTTCTTTAATTTTGCCTTTCCTTCCTTTTTTCTTTTCAGACGATTCATGTTCTTATGGGAAATGCTGTGCAACCCTTACTGACTTCAGTGGGAGATGCTATAGAGGCCATAATCATCACCATGCATCAAGAAGATTTTTCTGGGTAATGACTTTAAACCAAAATTTTTACTAGCCATTTTTGCATTTGTTTTTTATTCCCTCCTCCATCCCTACTCTCTAAAGTCTCCTAACATCTAGGGCTTCTTCCTCTTGTGACAGAAAGGGTTGGCCTCCAACCTTATTTTGTTTTAGTCATTGTAAGGACCATTAGCAGATGAAATTTTTTTCAGTTCTTGTTTTCATCATTTCTTTCCTGTCATTGAAACATAGAATCATTAACATCTCTAGGACTCAGCTTGGCACTTCAGGACTTTTGGTAGTCTGTACCATCTTCTTTTTCCAGTTGTATCTTTTTCTTTACTTCTCACAAACACTGTGCACTTGAGTTCTGGCATAGGCATGGTATTCCCTGTGTAAAATCCAAATCCTGCTCTGTTTTTGAGGGCAATCTCCTTTCAACCTCTCCCAGAGGGATTTTCCTTTCTTGGAGTTTTGTGACAGTCTAATCTGGCCATATCACACCTAACATTTTGGTATTCCATAGCTATTTCATATGTATACTGCTTATCAATATCTTATTATCTTGAGAATAAGAATCATAGTTCCTCACCCAGTCTTTATTGCAGTCTTTTTTAAGTAGAGTAACATGATTTTGACTCAGTGTATTAGAAAACCTTTTATGGAGAATTTGGAATAGTTATTGTCCACCTAAGAAACGTCCAAACCTATAGACAATTTTTATAAAAACATATTTAAGCCAAAGAATGGATACACCTGAAAGCAAGATCTGAACAGACTGAGATAAATGTTCCCTAGAAGAACAGCTTGCAGTTTTTCTTATGTGTTTGAAATTAAGAAGGGAGCCCAGCCAGTGTGGCTCAGTGGTTGAGCATCAAGCCATGGAACAAGAGGTCACTGGTTCAGTTCCCAGCCAGGGCACATGCCCAGATTGTGGGCCAAATCCTAAGTAGGGGGATATACAGGAGGCAGCCAATTGATGTTCTCTCTCATCAATGTTTCTATCTCTCTCTCTCCTTCTCCCTTCCTCTTTCTCTCAAATCGATAAAGAAAAGAAATTAAGGAGGAAACATAAAGAAGAATACATGAAGGTGTGGGTAGCAACATGGAGGCTTACAAAGTAGTTAAGATTATATGCTGTCTTGCCCTGGCTGCTGTGGCTCCATGTACCTAAGGGTCTTGGGTTTGATTCCTGATCAAGAGTATGTACCTTGGTTGCAGGTTTGATTTCCGGCCCCAGTTGAGGCATGTATGGGAGGCAATCAATCTATGTGTCTCTCTCCCATTGATGTTTCTCTATCTCTCTTTCTCTTCTCCGCCCTCCATCCATTCCACTCTCCCTAAAAATCAATGGAAAAAAATATCCTTGGGTGAGGATTAACATCAACAACAAAAAATCGGAAAAAAACCCCACAAAGGCATGTTAACCTAGATATACAGAAACAATGTTTAGGGCTTACTTAAAGCAAAGAAAAATCTCTTACTACAGTGATAACCCCCGGGGCATGACTAACCATTATAATTTGCCCAGTTAGGAATTTATGATCATTGCACTCTATGATAGATACTACTTTCCATAGAATCCTTTTCACCCACATTATTAACACATGCCCAGGGTGATTTAAAAAAAAAAATTTAATCACACATTTAAATATTAAATGTAGATATATATTTTACACTCTTAGTTCATATTTAGTTACTATTTTGAACTGTCCTGTTTCTCTTTATATTCATGTTGTTTAAAAGAATATTAAACAATTAAACTGTGTTAAATTGCCAGCCACTAGTCTATTTGTGGAAAAATTGTGTGATTATTATACTGTCCTTTAATTTCAAATAATTTATCACTTCATTTACAAAGTATTTTTTGATGAGTGAAAGGTTAGTATGTATTTTTATTTTATTTTTAAATATATTTTTATTTATTTTTTTAGAGAGAAAGGAAGGGAGAGAGAGAAACATCGATGTGAGAGAGACACATCGATTGACTGTCTCCTGCATGCTCCCCAATGGGGACTCAGTCCACAACCCAGGCATGTGCCCTAACCAGGAATCGAACTGGGACCTCTCAGTCCATGGGACAACGCTTAATCCACTGAGCCACACCTGCTAGGCGTTAGTTTCTTTTTTTTTATTATTCTCACCCAAGGACATTTTTCCATTTTTTGTTCAGATAGAGTGGGAAGGAAAGAGAGAAAGAGAGAGAGAGAGAGAGAGAGAAACATTGATGCGAAAGGAACACATCAAGTGGCTGCCTCCCACATGACCCAACCAGCGCTGGGGACAAACTGCAGCTGAGGTATGTGCCCTTAGTGGGAACCAAACCCGGGTCTTTCTGGACCGCAGGCTGACACTCTAACTGCTGAGCGAAACTGACCAGGGCTAGTCTTTATTTTTAATAATGGTAGGGCCCAGCCTGCGTGGCTCAGTGGTTGAGCATCGACCCATGCACCAAGAAGAGGTCCCTGGTTTGATTTCCAGACAGGGCACATGCCCAGGTTGTGGGCCCAATCCCCAGTGCGGGGCATGCAGGAGATGGCCAAACAATGTTCTGTCTTATCGATGTTTCTATTTTTTATCCTCACTCAAAGACATCCTTCCATTTTTGCTCATATAGTGTGTGTGGCGGGAGAGATAGAGATAGAGATAGAGAGAGAGAGAGAGAGAGAGAGAGAGAGAGAGAGAGAGAGAGAAACATCAACATGAAAGGGACACATTGAGTAGCTGCCTCCTGCATGACACCAACCAGGGCCAGGGAGCAGTCACAACCGAGGTACATGCCATTGACTGGAATCGAACCCGTGACTCACTGGTCCATGGGTTGACGCTCCAACTGTTGAACCAAACCAGCCAGGCCTCCCTTTCCATTTTGATGCTTGTTTCTTTTGCTGTACAGAAGCTTTTTAGTTTGATGTAGTCCATGCATTTATTCATTTTTTTCCTTTGTTTCTCTTGCCTTAGGCATTATACCTGAAAATTCTGCTGCATGTGATGTCTGAAATTTTGTTGCCTACATTTTCTTCTAGGATTTTTATGGATTCACAAGTCACATTTAAGTCTTTTATCCATTTTGAGTTTATTCTTGTGTATGGTGTACGTTGGTGGTCTAGCTTCATTTTTTTGCATGTAGCTGTCAAATTTTCACACCACCATTTATTGAAGAGGCTGTCTTTACTCCACTGTATGCTCTTGCCACCTTTGTCAAATATATAAATTGAGCATAATGACATAGGTCAATTCTGGTTCCTCTGTTCTGTTCCATTGATCTATATGCTTATTCTTGTGCCAGTACCAGGCTGTTTTGAATACAGTGGCTTTGTAGTATAACCTGATATCTGGTATTGTGATCCCTCCTACTTTGTTCTTCTTTTTCAAGATTTGTATGGCTATTCAGGGTCTTCTTTGGTTCCATATAAACTTTTGGAGTGTTTGTTCTGTGAAACACTATGAAATATGTTGTTGGTATTTTGATGGGGATTGCATTGAATTTATAGATTGTTTTGGGTAGTGTGGACATTTTAATGGTGTTAATTCTTCCAATCCATGAATAAAGTATATGCTTCCTCTTTTTTCAATGACCTGTAGTGTTCTGCAAATAGGTCCTTTACTTCTTTGGTTAAGTTTATTCCTAGGTATCTTAATTTTTTGGCCACAATGGTAAATGGGATTTTTTTTTAGTTTCTCTTTCTGTGAGTTCTTTGTTTATGTATAAGAATGCTGTTGATTTCTTGACATTGATTCTGTATCATGTTTCTTTGCCAAATTCTTTTATTAAATCTAGTAGATTTTTGATGGAGTATTTAGGGTTTTCTATGTATAAGATCATGTCATCTGCAAATAATAACAGTTTCACTTCCTCCTTTGCATTTGGGATCCCTTTTATGTTTTCTTCATGTCTAATTGCTGTGGCTAAAACTTCCAGTACTATGTTAAATAAGAGTGGTGAAAGCGGGCATCCTTGTCTTGTTCCTGTTCTTAGGGAAAATGCTTTTGGTTTTTGTCCATTGAGTATGATGTTGGCTGTAGGTTTTTCATAAATAGACTTTATTATGTCAAGATATACTCCCTCTATTCCCACATTGCTGACATTTTTATCAGACATGGGTACTGGATTTTGTTGACTGCTTTTTTAGCATCTGTTGATATGACTGTATGGTTTTTATCTTTCATTTTGTTTATTTTTTATTACATTTATTGATTTGTGTATATTGTACCAGCCTTGCATTCCTGGGATGAATCGCACTTGGTCATCATGCATAATTTTTTTTGATGTATTGCTAGATCTGTTTTACTAACACTTTGTTAAGGATTTTGGCATCTGTTCATCAAGGATATTGGCCTGTAGTTTTATTTCTTTGTAGTGTCTTGATCTGGTTTTAGAATTGGAATTATGTCTTCTGTCTTCTTGGATTTTTTGGAATAGTTTGAGGAGAATGTGTGTTAGATCTTCTTCAAATGTTCAGTAAAAATCCCCCACGAAGCCATCCAGGCCTGGGTTTTGGTTTGCTGGGAGTTTTTTATTTATTTATTTATTTCCTTTATAGATTTTAGAGACAGAGGGAGAGAAAGAGAGAGAGAGAAACATCGATGAGAAAGAACATCTAAAAGCTGCCTCCTGCATGCCCCCCACTGAGGATTTAGCCCACAACCTGGGCATGTGCTATGACCAGGAATCGAACTGGTGAACTCTTGGTACATAGGTCAACGCTCAACCACTGTGCCACACCCGCTGGGGTGCTGGGAGTTTCTTGATTACATCTTCAATGTCCTCTGTTGTTATTGTTCTGTTCAAGTTTTCTCTCTCTTCCCAGTTCAATTTTGGGAGACTATGTGTTTCTAGATATTTGTCCATTTCGCCTAGATTGTCCAATTTGTTGGCGTATAATTGTTCGTAGTATGTTTTGTTTTGTTTTTTTGTTCAGGTAGGACATTTTTCTATTTTTTGTTCAGGTAGAGTGGGAGGGAGAGAGTGGAACAGAGAGAGAGAGAGAAACATCGATGTGAAAGGAACACATCGAGTGGCTG